CCTTCAATGCTCCACCATGTATGTATTTATAGCCTCAGGTCATTACTTAGTGGTTCAAGATCCAGTTAGGTTTTAACCAATACCTAATATTCTTAGTCTTCTAAGGAGCTATTGTACTTTTGCCACCTAAAGTGTCAAGTCCGTTATACTGTTCCACCTCAGTGCACCAACGATGCGTCAATGCATTAAATGGACACAACAACTGATTAATATAATTCGGCTATTGGATAGAGCATTAGTGGTCCAACTTTATGATGTTAAGGTTCTTTGTCTAGCACGTGTTTCACCATTCCCTTGGTTGGGCCCACTATCTGAGGCATGCTCTAGCTTATCATCCTCCAATTCAAAATCCTTCAAAGTATCCCAATGGAGCTTATGTTGGTTTCTAAGGGAGGGCTCCTACCTGCACTCTTTAGACAACACCACCTTCTATGTGGTTTTTTGGGAATTTTATCTCTTTCGAGGTTGGCTTTCCTTCACGTGCTTTTGGGGCTTCCAAGACTCGAGGCTTGGCCTTCTTGGTTTATTTGGCTCTTTGTTTTGAGACTCGAGGTTCGACCTTCGAGGTTTATTTTTACCCAAAGTGTTAGACTCAAGGTTCGTTGTCTTCAGGAGTGCCCTCTAAAACATGGCATGATAGCTAACACAAAAGATAGGCTGCCAAGTCTGAAGCAGGCCTAACCATATGACCTACAACCTTCGCCCTGTCCTCATCATTCAAATCCTTTTGTGGAAGTTAAATATCCTTAAAAAAGTTAACTTACCCATGCCCCTATAGTACTTTTCTTCGCCCCTTACCCTCTAGCTTCATATCTAACGGCCTTGGGTCCAAACAACAACCCAAATATTTTTGTCTTATCCAAATCCTCCATTAACGATTGCACCAACGCCTTATTAACATCGTCCAAAACAAAGGGCCTGGGACTGCTCCCTCCCAACCTCAACAGATGAGACACATCTTCCAAAGTAGGTGTAAACTCACCCTAAGTAGTCACAAAGGTTTGAGTGGAGGAACTCAACTCAACAACAGAATGTGCAGGCCCACCGAATCGCGAGGCACCACTAGATCCCTAAACATTGCCATGGATCGTAAAACCCTAGCACTACGCAACAATCTTACATTCTCAACGTGCCCCAATTATAGTTCGAGCATTTGCCCCAACTATGGGAGTGATGGGTTTGACTACCAAAATCCAAGAACAAGTATAGGTTCTTGGATTCTGTACTACGGTCTGCAATAGAGCAAGGTTAGTACCCGTACTTGTTCTTGGATTCTGTTCTATGATTTGCGATAGAGCAAGGTCAATCGTGAAGGCCAAGCCTCGAGTCTTGGAAGTCCCAGAAGCACATCAAGGGTAGCTAACCTCGAAAGAGACGAACTACCAGAAAACCACACACAAGTTGTTGTTGTCTGAAGAGAGCGGGTAGGAGCCCTACCTCGGTAACCAACTTAATCTCCATTGGGATAGAAGGATTTTGTAATGTAGGACGAGAAGTTAGAGCATGCCTCGAATAGTGGGCCCAACCAAGGGAACGGTGAAACATGTACTTGATAGAGACCCTTAACATTACAATTAATGATATAACTGGATCATTAATGCTCATCTACATTGCTGTCCAATAGCCAAATTACATTAATTACTTGTTGTGTCCATTTAATGCGTCGCTGGCTCACTGAGGTGGAGCAGTAGAAGGGACTTGACACTTTTTTTTTTTTGATAAGTAGAAGGGACTTGACACTTTAGGTGGCAAAAGTACAACAGGTCCATAAAAGCCTAAGAATTTTAGGTATTGGTTAATAACTAACTGGGCCACGAACCATTGGCTAATAACTGAAAAACCTGAGGCTACAAATACGGACATGGTGGAGCATTGAAGGTAGAACTCAAGCAATTGAGTATCACAACCACCTTAGCCTATTCACTATCTTGCACAAAACATTCCTACCTTCACCATAAATTCCTTTAGTTGGTCTAGTTCTTCTCCTTCTACCAGAATCACTTTTTGGATCCCTCAAATTGTATTGTAATATTCCTATCATTTATTACCTGTTTTACTGTATGAAGAACCCACTATCTACACAATCTAATTTCCATTAGTAGCTTTGGAACTTTATACTTTGATGTAATTTGAGTCCCATTTAGTTAGAATATTGAGTGGGACAAGTTTTAGAATATTTACGTGAGTCCTTAGGGCTTTTAGTGTTGATAACAAGGCTTTTGCTGTAAGCAGAATGGGGAGTTAGTCGATCATCTCCTAATGCATTGCTCTGTAGCGCACGATTGCTGGAATCTTATTCTTGGGCTATTTGGCATGTGCTGGGTAATGCCATGTTCTACTAAGGAGTTGATTCATGCTTGGAGAGGTTGTCGTGTGAGTAGGAGTGTTCGTGATTATTGGAGATCTGTACCACATTGTATTTGGTGGTGCATTTGGAAGGAGAGAAATAATAGAATGTTTGAAGGGAAGGAGTCGTCTACAGCGACACTGAAACTTTTTATTATTCGTTCTCTCTTTAGTTATGTGAACAGAAGTTCTTGTTCCTTTTCTGATGATTTAATTTCTTTTTTGGATTCTTTGGGGCCTTAGACCCCGGTTTCTCTAATGTCTATGGGACGCGTTCCCCTATTAAACGCCTTTTTTAATTTATTATTACTTATCAGGAAAAAAAAAGAAAAAAAAGAAAAAAGGCTTTTGCTGTAGAAAACATTAGTTGGATGAAGAGTTTTCTTGGTCAAGATATGATTGTGGAACTCTTCTGTTGAAAACTGGTGATCTCAATCAAATCGTTGTGGAGGATGGTATTTCTATCTCTATTTCCTATCTATTTTGTGGAATATTTGTTCTGCTACTGTACTGCTCGATCTCTTTGAGTTAGCAAAACATGAACCAAAGGATTAAATATGTTGATAATGAACCCTATCCTATATCTCATACTTTGATCCATTGGGTCTAGCAATTCATTTATCAATGTTCAGCCTTTGAATACAAGAACTATAGGCTGTCCTGTGTCACATTTTGTTAGGGCAATCATATCCTTTCAAAGTGGTGTCAAGACTCAAGATATGTTACGAGTATTGGGTGCGAGTGTGTCCAAGTGTCGAACCTCCTTGAATCCCAAATCTTAAGTCACGGGTGACGTGTCCAAAAGTTGTAGATATATACTACACATTTAAATATTATATATATTATATAAATGGTATTATGTCTGATGCTGTTTTACTTGAGGAAAGTTATGATTTAAATTAAATGGCATATGGAATAAAAGGAGTTTATTGTTAGAGATAGGAAACTGTTCTTTGCGATCAAATTTGAGTTTTTACTTCTTTTATCATCACATGTGAAGGGTAATGGCTGTATGATTTGGATACATGTGTTTGACACATATCCCATACCCATACCTGTCATGTCGTTCAATACTATGTTAAGGGGGTGATAGGAGAGTCCATGTAACACAGGTATCACTGAACCTTTTCTTCATAGAATAAAGAACTTAGAAGAATTTAATTTTTAGGTCACTAGAGAGATATCAATTGTTGTGGTCAGAGAGAAAACTCTAAAAGTCAACATAAAATAGTGTAACAGAACAGTCCCGTACAATTTTGTTTTAATCTTTCTTAATAGGGATTAAAAGAGCTATTTAATCTCCTTCCCTCAGTCCCCCCAAATTCCATTTAAGGGATGTTCTTAACTTTGAGTTAATGCTGACCCATGCTAGGCAAATCAATATCTTATTAATAGGACATGTAGCGTTTGTTATATCTCCTGTACAATATGTTAACAGCATCGTCACATATACAAAATGACAGACTCTTATTGCTGTGAGCACCATTATCTCCAGTTGCCAGTCAATGAGATTATTAATCTCCAGATTTTATGCCCAACTAGCAGCACTTTGTGTTGTACAAATTCTGGAGCAAGTGGATATTTTTTCTACAATGATTTTTATGTTGACGTTGATGGTAAGCACTGGGAAGTCCTTCAATTGCATCTAACTTCTGGGTAGACCTTCCGGATTCTTTTTGTCAATGCTCAACCAAGTAGTTATATGCAAAATGTGCTTGAATTCTATTCAGTCCACCTTCTCTGGATCTCTCTTCAAATTTTGTCGAACAATTGTATGGTATTCGATGGGAGATCATGTAGAATTGGAATCTATGGAGGAAGAACAATGGGCCTGTACCTAACCAGGCCTCTTCTTTTGGTGAGCATTGGGAATTCATTCAAGGGCAACTAACTGCTGGGGAGCTTCAGGATTTTTTTTGGTCAATGCTCTACCAAGTAGTTGTGCACAAAATGTGCTTGAATACTACAAATGAACCTTTGCCTTTTTATTTATTTATTTTGTGTGATGAGTCTATAAATGGACCCGTACAGCCCCTTTCCTCCACACGGGTGTTTTTGTTTTAGTTGGTAGAAGACGAAGCGTTGAAGCAGCAAATTATCCTCTTTCCTTCGCTAAGTGCATGAACTAGCATTCTGCATGGATTATCCATGAGACAAAATATTAAAGTGGATCTGATTGGATGATCATTACCTAATACGTTATACATTTTTCTATATTGTGGGAGGTTAGCAAGTTAATTGAACTTTTACTTGGTTTATAATGTTAGAGGATTGAAATATTGACTCCTGGTTGAAGAAAAAGAGCTTCCAATTTACTTTAAAGGGAATAAAATTGATATGGAGCTTCTGCTTATCAAAAAAAAAAATCGATATGGAGCTTCTGGTTTTAATGTATAGAATTGTTCTTATGTGTTTTCCCAAGGGGACTGGGTGCTTTATTTTTTTTAATTTATTTTTATAAATTTGCCAATTCATTTACTTTAAAATTTCTATCTATACCTGCACAAGCTTTGGTTCTTGCATTCCTTCTATGTTTTATAGAACTGTTTTTCCATCAAAGTAGTAAGAATCAATAAATAAATAGACGTGGTTTCCTGTCCTGTAATTTCAATAAACATTTTAGCTAAATCTAACAAATTTCTGTTTCTCTGAAGGAGCAAAGCATCGATCCCATCAAGATTACTTGGAAAAGGCTGATAAAGCACGGAGTGAAAGACTTTCTTCGGGTTCATCTTTGACTAAATAATTGATGAAAGCTTTCTATCTTCCAATATCTATATAAAGGTGATACTATCTGCTGTTGGCATGCTGCATATTTGTTTTTGTTTCCGATATAATTTTAGAACAAAATGTACTCGTCCATAAAGGATAGTTACTGAAGCTCCATTATGGTGAACTTTTGTTTTTCGCCTTATTATTAAGGTACCAAATGTTTCTTGGATAAAAACTCAAAAAGTGTCTGGACTTGGGAGTTGATATCTTTCTTCTCATTTTAACTTCTGTTGTGGAAAACTCAGCTACACGAGATTTTGTTTTGATAAATGGCCAGCAATTCAAGGATAAACATAACCAGGGACCATTTTGATCAGATAATCCTAGTTATTTGTCATCTAAAGTCATTGCTTCTTAATGTCTAACGGAATGTAATGCATGCAGAATTGCTTTTGAGGCATTATTTGGCAAAATTCTGTATCAACTCCTGTTATTCTTATCTCCAGGTCATAAGCTATAAATTATGACTCTTGGGGACTTGAACCCGTGTTTTATATTCATGTTTCTTCTTTTCGTTTTTTCTTTTTCTAATGTTTCCTAACCAAAAATGCTGAAGTTTCAGGAAATCTATTTAATTTAGAAATGGAAGTTGTCAACCAGCCTTTGTATAGTATGGTTCAGTTGTCTTTTCTGAATTGTTCTTCTTCAAGAACTTGAATAATTAGGTTTAAAGTACTCAACCATTCAGGGTTGTCAGGCTGAAGATAGAATCTCAAGTAGTATATATATCAATCACCCTAATTTTTCAGAGGAAATGCAGTATTTAGATTCAATACCAGCTTTATCTTCATTGGTCGCCGACACCCCTTGTCATCTGTAAGATTGTTGATTTGTTCTCAAGTTTTCTCGGCCTCATTCTTTATTTTCTTCCCCTCTGATCATCTGCAAGAAAGAATAGTTTTCTTACTAGTTACAGTCAACCTGTCGAACACTTCTTTTTTAGCAGCATCCATAGCCAATTTAGAATTGATCTTCTTATGCCATTGCCGGCAAAACTCCATTCTATTGGGTCTGCCCTATTCTGTTTTAGGGAATCGAAAAATACAATAGTCAAAGCTACAAACTAGAAGTTTTTAGTTGGATTTTGGTCAAAGTAAACTTTTGCCCTTGAAGCTCTATTTACTGTACTGGTTTGTTTTAAACAACTGCAGCCCTGAAGGATGGCTATGTATGGACCATGGCTGATGTTTTGTTTGGTAGGAAAGGTGGATACCGAAAGAAAGAAGAGGTAGGGGGGATGGAAAACATGAAACTTGGAAGGAATGGGAGGGGGGAGGGATGGAGCAGATATTTTGGGGAAAGATATTGTGCTGTTTGGCCGATCGGAAAGGAAACATGATTTGACTATTATACCATTACGTAAGACGATGTATGAAAGAGTAAAAATGTGGGGTAAATAAATAAAAATGAGGTCCTTATTCCTTTCCTCTCTGCTCTCACTTTCGGAAGGAGATATTGTGTGCTACGACGGAAGGACACTCCCTCCAATTTTTTCCGTTCCATCTTTCTATCTAACGTAACGAGTGATCGCTCATCCCATCGCTTTCCGTTTTTTCTCCCCCTTGAAATTTCTTTTCTTCATTATTCCTCCCTAATGAAATTGGTCTTATAAAGGGTTTCATATTTCTTGTTGGATGTTGATAACTAGAGGATCAAAACTATGTTTCGAGTTCCAAACTAGCGTGTGGTTTTTTTTTTTTTTTGGTAAGTAAAGTTCCAAGCTAGTTGTTTGTTCAAATTCTTCGAAAGTTTGGTGGGAGTATAAAAACCCAAATCACGAAGCATTTTAAAAAAAAAGGCAGTCTAGGAAGTGTGAAAACATCAAACTATATGGGTCAATTAATTTTTTTATTTTTTTAAAAAATTTCAAAGCCCAACGATTTCAGGTCAATGTTTCCCTACAATTTTGTTTTAGTAACACTTCTTCCCCTGTTAAGATTTGACCATTAGTCAATGTCTGAAAATGTTGATGTAGTAATCGAATATTTTCCAATACTAATTTTGCCCTTCAAACGAGAAATAAAGACTATATATGGTCCTCTAGCAATAATATGAAATCTTGTTTCTACTTACAACAGAGATAAAAGAACAAAATTGCCCTTGTCATGGGGCCTGGGCTGATCTCTCTCTATCGAATTAGCAACGAACAACCCTCTAGAAATGTCTTTCCTTCTCTTTATCAAAAACCTAAATGCTCAAAAATGTGAATGAATCTAGAACCCAATTTGTACTCATCTTTAACTCAATCCCGCTCTCTTAACCAAGTCAAGCAAGAAAGTATACCCAAATAACATACCATTTTTTTTTTTCAAACTATCCACAAAATCTAAAAGAAGATCCATAAATATACAATTCCACCCATTTTCCCAATGATAATAAAGAAAGAAGAAAATATATAAAATATGAGAGACTAAACAGGGGACCATCGCCCTCAAAGGATCTCCTATTCCTCTAACTTCATAAACCTAATCATAAACAAAGGGGAGCGGCCCTTCAAGCAACTCTGACTCGGCTCTCAATTGTACACCATTTCCAAGCCTCTAGTATATCAACCATGGATTCTGAAACAATCCAATTCACACCAAAAGCAACCAAGAACATTGACCAAACATTCCTCCCCACATGGCAATGCAACAAAAGATGGTTAACAGATTCACCGGACTTCTTACACATGTAACATGGTGTGAGAGGTCGTGTGTACCTAATTAAGTATGTAGTGTGACCAAATTTGAATTTATAGAATGCCATTACCACTACTAACTATTAATGTAGTTATAGTAAGTAGGGATGGTCCTAAGGGATTGGAAGTGTGTTTTGGAATCAATTTGTTGGATTAGTAGGTCGAATGATCAAAAGATGGTTTGTTGGTTGAATTATACTACAATTTAAGCCAAATAATGCAATGTAAAACAACTAAAACAAATAAGGTGTAAAGAATATGATAGAGGAGTCTTGGGTCATAGAGTTCACCATTAAGCATTACCTTCCTAGACATTCAATATTTGATGGATTAGGGGGATTATGTGTTGTAAATGAAAGTGTGTGCCATTAATTGAAATATTAGCATGGATGGCCAACTAAACATATATTGTCTAGTTAATCTAGTGAATAACACAACATATTAAATTAAACCATTAATCCTTCCATGAGCCCACAATCAATGTAGACTCAACAAATTAGAGAAACCACTTGTATTCATAAGTATGGAATATCAAATAACAAGAATGGATTGTCCACCTATCTAAGAAAGTAAGGCAATTATACTACAACTAAGCTAATGACATGAAAATTAAACTAAGGAGGTGGCACAATCCATCAAGAAATAAGTATGAACCATCAAATAAACTACAAGAGTAACCCATTTAAGCACCATGCCTTAACCATTACTAGATTCATAAAATCAACATACATAGACATGCATCAATGTCACAAAATCTAGAGATAAACACATGAATATCCATTCTAGCATACATAGACATATGCATAGAATTAAATGATTAATTGAAAGTATTAAACTACACAAATCATTGTAGAAGCAAGATTTATATATATAAGATGTCAAGACAAGAAATACAACACAAATCCCCATTAATTACAAAATATCAAAGTCTAGGAGGCATGCTTAGGGCTATCTCTAGCCCCAAGAGAATGGTTTAGCCACTCATTAATGTTGTCATCCATCCCTCAAGGGCTATTTCCATGGTAGAATTCATACTCCTCTTCTTGTGTTGGTAGAATCCCTAGATGAGTGGAAGAACTTTCCCAAATTGTATATTTTCTCCCTCTAATCTCTAGCCAAGTCCCTCTAATTAACCAACCTCTTTACTAAAAATAGTCAAAATCCTTATATAGGTAGCTCAAATGTCACACCCAATGGTCAGACCTCGTGCACTAGGACCTCCAAATGATTGCACCACGAGCACACCTTTAATTTGGCTGGAACTCTGTTTTTCATGCAATTTGAGGCAGTTCGATCGATCACAAGGTTGCTCGGATCGATCGAACCATGGCGGCGCACTTTTTGGATAATGATAAGGCTGAGATATTTTTGGAAAAAAAGGACAAAAGTGGTAGGTGAGGATAAGATCAAAAGGGTTCGATCAATCGAAGGAAAGGTTGAATCGATCGAATAGGAAATTTTCCTGAAGGTAAGGACAAAAGGCTCGATCCATCATAGCATGGTTGGAACGATCATAGTGTGATCGATCGGAGCTTGGTTTGATCGATCGGAGAAGGCTTCTTCACCACTTTGCTTCTACTGTGCTCCTTTCTTCCACTAAGCTTGAGATTGCTTCTTTTAATGCTCTAATTCAGCTGAATTGACTTACTTCGGGGATAAGTGCTTGAAAAGGGATAACATGAAATTAGACTAAAATGAAAAAATAAGATAGAATAAGATTCTAGAATATTCAAGCTTAAGGGGTTTAAATGCGCACTTTTCAGCACTTATCACACCCTCAAACTTAAATATTGCTAGTCCCTAGCAATGAACTACGAATAAAATAAAGAAATGAACAACTATATAACTTTGAACTAGAAAACAATAAATGGATAACGCCACTTTCGTAGGGAACATGATTGCATTTAGCACATGCAACAAGCTTTTTAAACCCCTAGGTTACCCCTAGTGGACGAGTGAAGTCTCGTGAGGGTTTCCAGAAATGATACCTACAAACATTAAGCTCTTTCTCACTAAAGAGGCACCAATATTCCAAATAAGCATTGAGAGGAAACTACCTCAAGTATGTAATTTTTTTAACAATTTTCAAGCAATTTCTCAAAATTTCAACATCAAGTAAACAAATATGGTCCTCCATATATTAAGACAATGATCATGCAAATCAAAACAACTTTAGAATCCTTTTTAAGTGAACTGGCATCAAATATGTTGCTATCTAAGCCAACTAAAGAAATGATCACATTCGGCCTCAAACTAGCACACAAATCTAGTACCGATTATCAAGACAAAGAATTGACCTTTTATTAAAGCTTTATCCACTAGGTGCGATTTTTATTTTTTATTTATTTATTTATTTTTTTAACTAACCCTAAGGATCAAAGATGGAAGTATAGTGCAATGTGTTGATCTATTAAGCTTTCTAGCGATTCATGAGGTTGAGCGTTAGGTCAATGACTCCCAAGCCGGACGGCTTTAGGGCATTAGGTGTTTAAACACCCCTAAGGACTTAGAAGCTCAAATCGAC